CTGTTCCATTTGAACTCAGGACCGGGGCACTCTCCCCAAGATTTTTTTTCTCAAGGCTAATGCTCTATCACTTATGCCACTGTACCACTTCTGGCTTTTTCTGAGTAGTTTATTGGAGATAAGAGTTTCATGAACTTTCCTGCCTTGGCTGGCTTCAAACTTTAATTCTCAGTTCTCAGCCTCCTGAATAGCTAGGATTACAGGCTTGAGCCACCAGTAGCCAGATGAAGGTGGCTTTTTTGAAAGAAACTGTTTTTTGATAAAAAATGTTAAAGAAATGGGGAGGGTAAACAAAGGAGGAGGCTACAATGCTTGATAAGAAATGTACTCATTATCTTGCCCATGTAATTGTAACCCCTCTGTATAGTATTTTCACAATAAAAAAATGTTAAAAAGAATTAAAATATAAATAGTAAATTTATTATCTTAACATAGCTAATCTCATTTTTACAATGGCTTTCCAGTTCTATAACACATGCATTTTTATTAGTTGTAACTAACCAACTTTGTGTTCTTTTTAAAGAATTCTAGAATAATAGGTTTTCTTAATTATAAATGACTATTTTATGCACTATAATTTTGCACGTTTCTACAATGTTTAATTTTTATGTTGCTTTTAATAGTTTGTTCTTATAATGTTTTTATAGACAACTCTGTAAGTATTTAATTGCTTTTATCAGGAGAATGTCAAAGAAATCCTTTATGAGGACTTCTGCATTTTGATACTAAAAATAGCCTATTTTTTCTGGCTTCCTTTTCTTTATTGAAATAATGACAATTTATATTGTGATATTTTCATTTACTATAATTCTGGAAAGGTTGTTTTGATTATTGTATTTCTCAGATGCGTAGTTCTTTTTTTTGGGGGGGGGGCCCGGTCATGGGGCCTGAACTCTGGGCCTGGGCGCTGTCCCTCAGCTCTTCAGCTCAAGGCTAGCGCTCTACCACTTGAGCCACAGCGCCACTTTACCACTTGAACCACAGTGCCACTTTACCACTTGAGCCACAGCGCCACTTCTGCCTTTTTTTTCTGCTTATGTGGTGCTGAGGAATCGAACCCAGGGCCTCATGCATGCAAAGCATGCACTCTACCACTGAGCCACCTTCCCCGCCCAGATGCGTAGTTCTTAAGTTACTTTTAAAATATGTGTGAGCCGGGCGCTGGTGGCTCACGCCTGTAATCCTAGCTACTCAGGAGGCTGAGATCTGAGGATCGCGGTTCAAAGCCAGCCCGGGCAGGAAAGACCGTGAGACTCCTATCTCCAATAAACCACCAGAAAACCGGAAGTGGCGCTGTAGCTCAAGTGGTAGAGCGCTTGCCTTGAGCTGAAGAGCTGAGGGACAGCGCCTAGGCCCAGAGTTCAAGTCCCACGACCGACAAAAAAATAAATAAAATAAAATATGTGTGATTTATCAAATTGAGTTTTTCTTTTTCATGCCTATCTTAGGTCACAAACTACTATCTTGCCAAGTTCTAACTGGTCATAATGATGTTTCCTGATTCTTTATTTTCACGTTCCCTAAATTACTAATTGTCTCTCGCTTGCATATATGATTTACTCTTGGTTGTAATGAAATCTCCTGAGCTACCTATATTCCCTATATAGCATGCTTCTGAATTTCCAGTAAGTGTGTGTGAGAATGTGAACCTTAGTACTATGTACTTTAGAGGTTCATATTTATGAAAGAGGATCTGTTCAGATACATGAGCATTATTGAATTACTTTTTTGGATTATTTACATGACTAAGCTTTTCCCATTAATGCATATTTTTTTGTTTGTTTCTTTTTGCCTGCTGTGGGGCTTAAATTCAGGGTCTGGGTGTTGTCCTTGAGCTCTTGCTAAAAGCAAGAGCTTTGAGCCACGGATCCACTTCTAGTTTTCTGGTGGTTAATTGGAGATAAGAGACTTGAACTTTGCTTCCTGAGCTGGCTTTGAACTGTGATTCTTGGATCTTAGACTCCTGAGAAGCTAGAATTACAGACATGAGCCACCAACATCCAGTAATGCATATTTTTTGAGAGGTGACTTGATTTCTTGTTCACAATCTTGCCATACCGACAAGCAAACTGTGACCCCTGGTAAAAAAGCAAAGAAGACAAACAACCCCAGACATGACACTAAGATCAGCAGGAATGGCTTGTCAAGTTGTCTTGTTTGCTTTAGAGACAGTTTTCTTCCTGGGTAGAGATGGGGCAGACATTGCTAATGTCCTAGAGTTTCACCAAAATAATTAAACAATTATCCTGTTTATATTTAAATGAGGAAGACATACTGCTCCAGAGGAAATGTAGTCATTATGTAACTTTAACACCTTTACAATAACAATAAAAATTAAAAAAATAAAAGAACAACTCTGAAATATTTCCATAAAACAAACCTGTCATAATTATTGTTTCATTAGATATGCTTTACTTTGCTAACTAATGAACAGTAACTTGCCTCTTTAAATTTTACTGTATATGAAGCTACAAAAATTTTGAATTTTAGTGGTTTTCTCTCTCAATCACCATTGTGATTTTTATTTTTTACAAGCCAAGTTCTGTCTTAATGGTTTTCAAAAAATACTTGTCATTCTTCATTACTTAAGAGCCCTGAAATATTTTCAAAGTTGAGCTGAATTCAAATTCATTAATATAGGTAAAGTTCATATAATATAGCAAGAAAGATTACACCTTCATTCCTCCATGATATTTAAGGCTTGCCTTTGGTCATTATTTAATACCTGCATCATTAAATATAGCCTCTATGTTGGCTTGGGAGAGAAGACATTATTGTAAAAAATGATTTTCCTGCATTTTAGAAGAAATTTTTTAAATTATTTGTCATCAAAATATAGAATAGCATGTTAGCTTGCTAAAATTCTTAGATTGTGAAGCTTGGACACTTACACTGAGAGCATTTTAGAGGGTGGTATCCCTCAAGTGCCAAAACTTCCTCCCATCAGGGAGGGTGGAGAGCTCTACTTTTTTTTTTTTTTTTTTTGTCGGTCGTGAGGCCTGAACGCTGGGCCTGGGCACTGTCCCTCAGCTCTTCAGCTTAAGGCTAGCACTCTACCACTTAAGCCACAGTGCCACTTCTGGCTTTTTCTGCTTATGTGGTACTGAGGAATCAAACCCAGGGCCTCATGCATGCAAGGCAAGCACTTAACCACTGAGCCACCTTCCCAGCCCGAGCTCTACTTTCTTAAAGGAAATGAGTAGCTTTCCAGGACAAGGCAAAGTTTGAATTAAATTTAGCCAAGTAGAGCTCTAGTTTGAAATTCATCCAGAATCTGAATAAGGTAGCAGACTGCTGTTCCCCAAACATATCCACAGAGATGAGTTTCCTTTTACCATCAAATCACCTCAGTCCCATTCTTAGCTGACTTTCAGCAAGCACAACTGGAAAACTTTTTATGGGTTAGGGCGTTGGGGATGTAGATCAGTGGAAAAGAACTTGCCTGGCAACTACAAGGTCCTCAGTTTGGTCCTCAGCTCAGAAAAAATGGTGGAAAGAAGTCCCATGAAGTATAATTATGGATGATGTAAATGTAGACAATTGTGAGGTTCTTAGAATTAATTTCAGAGCTCTGAATTACAGCTGGTTTATGTTCTAAGCATACTTTCCAACAAGTGAAGGCCATCAAGTGATTGCTTTTCTAATAATTCCTTAAAAATTTACTGAGACAAAAACAAAAGGAAAACCAAGTCCCCATTTTTTATGTTGAGGACATTTAAGAGAATGATATTTAAAATTGGGGAAAGGTTCAGAAAGAAATTATTCTAGGGCCAGAATAAAATTGAAAGATACACAAGATAGTTAACTATCTGGAGGGGATTAAAGGAGTTAAAACTGTTCATAGAAAGGAGTTGGTAACTCAAAAATGAGGATACAAACTATCCAGCATAAGAAATGATACCTTAGAAGAAAATCATAATATATTCTCCATCTAATAGTAGGTTGTATGGCATATATCCTTTCCCATGACTTGTCTATAATGAATTGTGCTGTAATTAATGCTGTACACATGTAGTTTTTTCAAATTTAATTTATTGTCAAGGTAATGTACAGAGGGATTACAGTTACATAAATAAAGTAGTGAGTACATTTCATGTCCAACTTGTTACCTCTTCCCTCATATAACTCCTAAGTTCCTTCCCCTGCAATTCACCACTCAACATACAGTTTATATACTCTAACTTAGATTCCTTTGGATAAATACTCAAATGTAAGGTGTTGAATCATACAGGTTTTTTTGAAAAATTTCCATAATGGTTTCCATAGTGGTTGCACTAACTTACAATATTACTAACAGTGTGTTGGAGCTTCTTTTCCCACTCATCTTTGACAACACTTGTTAGTGTTCACATTCTTGATGATGGCTATTCTGACTGGCGTGACATGCATTCTCTGTATTTTTTTTCATTTGCCATGTCCTTTAAACACTAGGATCTAGAACATTATTTCATGTACTTACGAAACACAGTTTGGGGAGGTTTAGGGTTTTTTTTTTTTTACTTCTCCTTTGTATTTTTTGGTAATTAGACCTTATTCAAAATTACCACTAGCAAAGATAATCTAAAAAGTTGATCTAACCCTAATCTGAGGTGTAAACATAACACCGTAACACTACATGCAAACAAGAAAATGTTGAGAAACATAATCAGGATGAGGTGCACCAAGCTCAGGGCCATCCTGTGCTGCTGGCAAGGTCTAAATAGGAGCCAGACCCAAGAGATGACAGTCTTCTTCTGGTGCCAACACCAGCAAGGGGTACTGGGGAAGACTCTGCGATCTCCAACACCAGTGGATGGCCTTTGGCCTACTGATCCTTGCAGAGTGTCTTGCGTGTTTTGAATGAAGGCGCCACACGCCTGCAGTCCACATGCAGGAAAGCTGTTCTCCTCAGCAGCAAATTGTTCCCAATGCTGAAAAGGTCAGTGAGGTTTGTGCGCCTCCTAAGAGCACCTCATGTCATGGCTGTGACATTCCCAGCTCGCAAAGCTCCACCATGGACCATGAGAGCCACCTCCCCATCTGCAGATGCCCAGGAGCCAGGGAAGGAGGTGGAGGCTGACAAGCCCACAGCTAGTCCCCCAGCAAGCCATGCTCCCCCAAAGACACCTGCGCGGACAGCCGCCAAGAGGAAAACATCCCTGACATCGGATCTTCCCCTGTCACTACCACTGCCCCGGCCTGTTCCATGGGGTCTAGGTGAGCTTCCTCCTCAAGCAAAACTTCTTCTCTTGAACTGTAGAGAGACAGGGGCATTTGTGAGAACAGTCTGTCTCCAAAGAGGGAAAACTGTAAAGCAGAAGCCTCGGAGGGTAGACCAGAGGCAGTGACACATGGCAGTGTCACCGTGTCTGCCTCTTCTGTTTGCCCACCTGATGCGGGGACCGGTGTCCCCCGCTACCTGCCTACTTGCACTGCAGACATTGCAGCTCTTCCCAGCACTGGGAATGTCACTGGGACCCACAGGCTGAGAGCAGACTCCTTGAACCTTAAACAGGGACTGATACCTAAAATCCCCTGTGGCCAATCCTCTGCCCCTACTGACTCTGCTCCTCATAGTACCCCTGCTTCTACTTTGGGGATTCTAAAGGATGAGAATGAAGACCAAACTTATGGATCAAAAAGTACAACCTCTTCTACTTCCATCTTCCCCAAACCTCCTCCCCCTGGAGTTTTGACTCTCTCTAGCCCAATGGAATCCCTGTCCCTATGTGTGTAGATTCCTCTCTTCCCCTTCATTTCTCTACCCCACCTCATGTGGTTCTAATGTCTGTAAACAATGATGCCACCACAGTTTTTGTAATGCTTGCCCTCAGACTATCTTCTCTTGTGACCATGAAAATTGCTACCCTTGATGACATTGTTGACATGGATACAACACTGCCCTCTGAGACAGTCATTTTTACATTTCCCCCACTTTCCAGCACCAACCCCTATCCATCTTCCCAGGCCCCCTGTAGCCTGTAGCAGGGGCACCTTCTGAATGGGCCAGTACCTACCATATCACCTATACTCTACCCCTATCCATTCCCCCAGGTCCCCTACATCCTGTGCCAGGGGCATCTTCCAAATCGGCCAGTCCCCACAAACCTCCCTCAACCCCAAACTTATCCCTTTCCTCTGATCCCCAGCATCAGGGGAAACTGATGATGGGGCAAGTTCCCATTAATCCACTTCAACCTACGGTCCCCTATCCTTCCCTAGTTTTAATCAGTGGTGCACCAATGTCATCCCTAAAGTGCTGTGTCTATTCCCATGTGTGCAGTTCCTTCTGTCCTTTCCAACATGGCCTCAGTCACTGTCCCCATTTCTGGAGGCAATGCCTCCTCACTAGCCAAACAACCCTCGGATGATGATGATGCTATGGATATAATACCACCTTCGCAGGCATCAAATTTTATTGTCTATCTCAATGAACAACCACTCTGCATTGAACCAGGTACCACTGATTCTGATAGGGTGCCACATAACATCATAATTTCCACCATGCAAGGACCTGCCAATTCACTTTACAGTCCCAACTTATGCAGGGACAAAACCACAATATTGAAAATCTTTCCAATACAAGAGCCATCCCTTACTCCACATTACAGGTCTCTAATGGACAATGTAACAGTAGTTGTTTTCGGAGTGTTCCAGCACTAACAACACTACCAGCTAATGGCCTAACTACTCCTCCAGTGCACCTACCCAGACATACCACCATGCAATCCAGCCACATGGCCATCACATTGTCCTCTGCATTGAACCCTGCAGTTATCACCCCACAAACCTCTTCTAAAAACTCTCAGTGTGCTATGTACACTGCCCTGCTCACAACCAATAGCATGAATATCCCCATTTTGACAGTCTCCGGTGACACAAATTCACCAGTTCACAAGGCTGCTCCTAGCACAGTCATGGGAAATAGAATTCTGTCAACTTCAGGACACCTGTGGTTTGGCACATCCTCCAAAGGCTCATTGCTCGAACTCTAGAACATTCCATGTCAATCGCAGGTGTAATGTATAAATGTAGAAGCATCCAACTTCCCCACAGGATTCATTGTGATTCTTCTCTTCCTCTTACACTGATGGGCATGGCCATATCTCCTCATAGTGTGATTGATATAGCAGGACGTTCTTCTGGACAGTATAAAAGGACTGTGTATTAACTTCCTGGTCCCCCTACCTGGCTTGAGGATCTTGGCTTGTACACTCAGCTAATTTCCAATAGTCAGAGAACTAGCAACAGGATGATTTTCATTTTTTTATAGTGAATTTCAATATCCCTTCTATTTCCCCTCTTAAATACAGAAAAACCTTGTGTTCATTGAAAAAAAAAGGGAATGTTATTCAGTGTAATTAAATGATTTGTCACTATTTCTGTGGGGGATTATATCAAAACTTAAGAGCTTCTACAAAAATGAAAACCATAGGTTTCAGTGTAAATTGGAATAGTGAATGGTCTATATAAATAGTTAGGAGAAAAAAAGAAATCAACCTCCCTAGCCATAAAAGAAATGCAAATCAAAACAACATTGAGATACCACCTCACCTCAGTTAGAATGGCTATAATCAAGAACTCTAATAACAACAGATGCTGGAGGGGATGTGGACCAAAGGAAACCCTACTGCATTGTTGGTGGGAGTGTAATAAACTTTTTCAACCACTTTGGAAAGTAGTATGGAGGTTCCTCAAAAGACTCCACATAGAGCTCCCCTATGACCCGGCAATCCCACTTTTGGGCATTTACCCAATTGATCACAAACAAGATCATACTAAAGCTACCAGCACAACTATGTTAATTGCAGTATTATTTACCATAGCTAAGATGCGGAACCAACCCAGACGCCCCTCAGTAGATGAATGGATCAAGAAAATGTGGTATATATACACCATAGAATTCTCTGCCTCCATCAGAAAGAATGACATTGCCCCATTTGTTAGGAAACAAAAAGACTTGGAAAAAATTATATTCAGTGAAGTAAGCCAGGCCCAAAGAAACATAGGTCCCATGATTTCCCTTATTTGCAGTAACTAGTATATGTCTGAGACAAGCAGACACGGTCAGACAAGTTGATGTTAGGGAAATGAACCCCAAGATAAGGACTCAAGTGGTTTTTCTTTCTTGCTATTGTTTCTAACGTATTTATAAGATGACTTATTTGTTGCTTTGTATGTCCTCTCCCCTGTTTTCACTGTATTTGATGTTGGTATAATTTGTGGAGGGGGAGGGAAAAACATATTGTTTAAATAGGGATACAGGTGAACCCATTGCAACAATGAGATGTACAAGTCGTTATGTCAAAAAACGAACTTTACAACTTTGGCGGGGGGGGGGGGGTAGGGGGGGGGGGGGGAGGAGGGCGGGCAGGGTGGGTATAGTCATGGAGATGGGAGGGCAGGGATGGTAGGGGAAAAACAAAGGAGGTAACAATGCTTGATAAGAAATGTACTTATTACCTTGCTCATGTAATTGTAATCCCTCTGTACGGTATTTTCACAATAAAAAAATCTTATTAAAAAAAGAAATTGACATGGAAACAGAGCTATAAAGTGAATATAAAAGAGCATATTAAAAAAAGTGAGCATTTCTGAGTCTTCTCAAACCCAATTGTTAGAGAGTTGTGAGGGAAGTTGTTCCTTAGACCTGTGAACATGCACAGGTATTCTTGCATGTTCCATGAACTATCTTGACAGAGGAATTTGAACTCCAGGGGACTCATGCTAGCTATGGTTAATTTTTTGGCTGGTGCTCTATCACATCATGTTTGCCATGTCTTCAGTCCATCATTTTGCTTGTTAACTGCCTAAGCTGGTGTTGAAATATGATCCTTTGGATCTTGACCTCTGGAATAGGAATGATTATAACTATGAGCCTCTTGTACTCAGCTTACAGGAATTCCTCAGGCACTCCCCATTCTGTCTTCTTTTTATGAAAATAGACAATGAATTTCTAGACATTTCTGTAAATGAGATTACTTTATGAGATTTGCCAATAACATTGCTTCATTCATTAGAATAATAACACCCTAATGTAAATATTAAATGTATTTGAGGGAATCAATTCCATGTATCAATGGAGAAGAGAATACAAAAGATATCATACCACAGGCTTATTCCATTCTGATTCTCCCAGAAATTCCCTATTGCTGGTGTAGAGTTATATGCTATAGCTATTAAAAAATAATCTTGCTGGGCACCAGTGGCTCACACCTGTAATCCTAGATACTCAGGAGGCTGAGATCTGAGGATCATGGTTCAAAGGATCACTTATCTCTAATAAACCACTAGAAAAACCAGAAGTAGCATTTGACTCAAGTGGTAGCCTGCTTGTCTTGAGCTGAAGAGTTGAGGAACAACATCCAGGCCCAGAGTTCAAGCCCCATGACTGACAAAAAAAAAAATCTCTGGGAGATTGCAACTGAAGGGGTGATATTGTCCAAAAGAACTGTACTCTTAAACCTGACATATAACTGTAACCCTTCTGTACATTACCTCTATAATCACAAAAACATTTTTTAACAAATTCTCTTACCTTGGTACTTGGGGCTCACAAAGGTAATCGAGGTACTTAGGCAGATATCTGAGGAATGTGGTTCAAAGGTAGCCTGAGCAGACAAGTCTGTGAGACTCTTAAGCTAAAAAAGGTTAGGAACAGGAGGCCGGCTAACGCTGGGCCTGCGGGCCTCAGCGTGGGGCCGTGCCCGCTGTTTCCCGGTTCTGAAGCACATGCCGCGGGAGCGCCCCAGGTTGGGGAGCAGACGGCTTCTGCCCCTCCGGAAGCTCGCGGGCGCCCTCTCAGCCTGTCGGCCGCGGCCATGGTAAGCTCGGCGCGGCGTCCTCTGCAGCCCTACCTGCGCCTCATGAGGCTGGACAAGCCCATGGGGACCTGGCTACTGTATTTGCCATGTACCTGGAGCATTGGTTTGGAAGCTGAACCAGGTTGTTTTCCAGACTGGTACATGTTATCCCTCTTTGGCACTGGAGCTATCCTGATGCGTGGAGCAGGCTGTACTATTAATGACATGTGGGACCGTGACTACGATAAAAAGGTTAAAAGAACAGCAAATCGTCCGATAGCTGCTGGAGACATTTCAACTTTCCAGTCCTTTGTTTTTCTTGGAGGACAGCTGAGCTTGGCACTGGGTGTTCTTCTGTGTCTGAATTACTACAGCTCTGGGAGCAGCATCCTTACTTCTCGTCATCACTTACCCACTAATGAAAAGAATCACATACTGGCCTCAGTTAGCCTTGGGGTTAACTTTTAATTGGGGAGCATTGCTTGGATGGTCTGCTATCAAGGGTTCCTGTGATCCATCTGTGTGCTTGCCTCTTTACTTTTCTGGAGTTATGTGGACACTGATATATGATACCATCTATGCCCATCAGGACAAGAAAGACGATGTTCTGATTGGTCTGAAGTCCACAGCACTGCTGTTCAGAGAAAACACTAAGCAGTGGCTCAGTGGCTTCAGTGTTGCCATGCTGGGAGCACTGAGCCTGGTGGGTGTGAACAGCAGTCAGACTGCACCCTACTACACCGCTCTGGCCGCTGTCAGAGCCCACCTGGCTCACCAGATTTACACTCTAGACATCCACAGTCCTGCAGAACAGTAGGAATGATCCTTTTTTTAGGGATCATCCTTGGAAATTTATGGAAAGAAAAGAAGACAGATCAAATAAACAAACAAAGATAGTAGAATGGGAAATTGGCCAATGAACTAGGAGAAGTAACACACCTTTAATCCCAGCATTCAGGAAGTGGAAACAGGAGGATCAAGAGTTCAAGACCAGCCTGGGCTACAAGCTACATCATAAGACAATGCTCCTTAAAAACCATAGGATGGGGATGAAGTTCAGTAGCAGAGCACATACCCAGAATGTGCCAGGCTCTGAATATCCTCAGCACCTAAAAACAAAAATTAGCAAATAGTTTATCTAGGAATTATGAAAATATTTTTTAAAAAACATTCTGAGTTCTTATAGCCACATTATTAGATTTGAATGACTAGCCAGTTACAATATGTTAAAGAAGAACCAGATGAAGATTTAGAGCATATTTTCCTTGATTCAAGTAATTCAACTGTTTCCTAGCAAAATTGTCTCTAGTCTCAAAAATTAGGGGCTCTTTGGGATTAAGTCGATACATTCTTTTGCCTTTTATAAAAGTTGTAGGAATTGGATGAGTTTTAGCACTTTAGAGAAAACCTGATATGTGTCTTATCTAAATAAATGTCTTCTTGATCTGTAGGAAAATGAACTTTTTTTAGGGGAAAAAAGTTCTAATGGAAAATTGGAGAATATTGTTATTTTTTGTAACCATCAGCCTCAACTAAAAGCTGTAATTTAGGAAAATATTACATTGTGTTTTATAATAATTTAAATAGCAAGTAAAATTTTTACATATTATAAAAAAAAAGGTTAGGAACAGTGCCCAGGTTTGGGTTCAAGCCCTAGAACTGGCATCAAAAACAAACAATAATCTCTGTTATATTTGACACTTACAGATTCCCACAGTGAATAGATTAAAGTGGGGAATTCAGTATAAAGGGTTGGAAAGAAGTGCTGGGTCATTAGTTTAGTGATTCTGTCTCTCATACACACACTTGCACACACTTCCGCAGACACACACAGTTTTCATCATTAGCTGATCCTGAGACTTTAGCAGTAATAGCTGTGTTTTGTTGAAATGCAAGTGTTTAAACCTAAAATAAGAAAATGTGAGAACAAATGTGGAATTCAGGTAGCTATTACTAAATCTCTTATTTTCAATGGCAGTAATACTAAACATTGTTTCATTCTTAAAGATAAAACTTAAAATTGATGACTATTAAAGATACAGCAACAGAAAAGCTCTGTAGAACAATATTATTTATGGGTATAGAAGTGGAAATAACACATCAAATATTAAACTGAAACTGTTTCTCATTTAAAAAAATATTATCAATTACCATTTCTTCTATGTTAACAATAAGCTACACATTGTGCTAAATACTGAATATGATTTCTCCATCCACTTAACCCTAAGTAGCAGGAGTAAATATTATCCATATTGACATGTAACATGAAGGGAGGCTCAGAAAAGTGAGGTAAACACAGAGGATCACATAACACTTTGTGAAGTTAACTACTCAAATCTGATAGATATCAAGGTTTTGCCCTGGGCCAATAAACACTACCCATTAATTATTGTGGGTACCTGATTGTGTTGTTTCCTTGGAAGAAAAGCTCATTGAGAACATAGAATCTTCTAAAAGGACATTTGATAATCATTAGCTCTGCTTATCATAATTATAACTCAGTAGAAAATGAAAAGAAGAATACATCCTTAATGTGACAAAGACATTATCACTCAGGTCTAAGAATCAACTTGAAAGTGACTTAATTAGGTTATTCCTAATAGGATGCTAATTGCCATCATTACTGTTGGGCACATTATAAACAATACTGTACAAATGATATGCTTGAAAGAAAAATAATCAGTATGAATTGTATTAAACGGTAGAACAATGGTCCACAACAATTAAGAGAAAAGATCTATTAGAATCAATAATGCATTTTAGTAAGAGGTCTATAGCCAAATAAATACAGAGAACTTAACATAGATTCTCACAAGTAGACGGGGGAACATGAGTTAAGAGTCATATAATCAAATTGCTCAAGACACTGGGAACAGGTCCCCTATTCTATTCAGGGAGAGTTACCTTCGCTACAGAAGCTACTGAAGTTAGTGTACCACAATCTTCAGATTACAGCAATTTACTGAAGAGCAATCAGCAGCATGGCTCCAGTACCTTTAGAGGACTATTTTACAACCAAAATGATTTCATTTTTATGTGATCTATGAAGCCCTAATTTGGTGAGGGGAAGGGAAATTTTTAAAATGCTGAAATAAAGATATAGATTGACCCATTATAACAATGGGATGTACAAGACACTAAGTTGAAAACGAACTTTACAACTTCATCAGAAGGGAGGAGGGATTAAGGAGGGGAGGGAGTTGGGGAATTGGGAGGGAAGGGATTTCAGGGAAAAAACAAAGGAGTAGGTAACAATGCTCAATAGGAAATATACTCATCACCTTACTCATGTAACTGTAACACTTCTGTACAGTATTTTTACAATAAAATACATAAAATATATACAAATACCAACCAATACTGATAAATACAAAATGAAAAGAATAGTAAAAAGAACATGAAAATACAAAAGTTTTACAATTTTCCTTTTTTCCCCTTAGTTGCAAACAGTTTTTATTGTGACTGATACCCTTTAGTAATTTAATCACAATTACTTTACTCACTGGAAAAATAATACATAAGATTTCCCTAGGTTGTGCTACATAGCACATCCTACCTCCACACAGCTCCTCTTCCATTGCTTCTCCCACACAAGTTGCCCTAAAGAACACTTTACTTCTATTGCACGCATTTCCCACCATCCTTTTCCATGCTATGTTCCCTCCTTCTGCCTGCCTTTGTTTGCTAGAAATATGTAAAAATGGCACATCCACATACAAGTGCATATACACACATTGCCTATGTAGTCTTATGTTCAGTGGATTCCTTTGGGATCTGGCTTCTGTTTACACAACTCTACTAAGTTGATTTTAGACAGTTTCAAGGGCTCTTAGAGTGACCAAATCTAATCATTTTCCATTGCTCTCCTGAGCAACTGGGTTTGTTTTCCTCATCAAAGTCCAAGTTGGAGACTGGTAGGTAGCAGCCTAGCTGGAGATTTGACTTTGGAATAGTCTTGAGCTGCTCTCTCAAAATTGGGGTAGGAGATGTGAATACAATCTCTAGTGAAGGCTCTGGAATCTGCTCTCAGCCCCCCACTCTCACTTCATCCTGAATTCATACTTTAACCATGCCCTTGGTCCACATCAAGATGTTGTCTATATTAGCACAGTCTTATCCCAGTGAGTGCTTAGATCAGGTTGCTGCAGTTTCCTAGATGTACCTGGAGCTGATAGCAGTGCTCAGTCAGATTCCAGGGACCTGCGTTTCATCCCAAGGCATTCAGTATGGACAGTTTCTCACAACAACTTCTCTGCCTGTCATACAGCTTCAGCAGCACCACGCTTCTGTGCCCTAGCCCTTGAGAACACATTGCCCACAGTCACAGGTCAGCTTGTGGGATGCTGATAGAATCAAAAACTACTTGGCTCTCAGCACTACCTTCTTTAGTGCTCTGTGAGGATTCAGGTGTGAGAACATCTGTTCAATAAGGTCCCTCTGTGAGAGAGTATGCCAGGTGATGTCATTCAGTTGCCATCTTGCCCTAAGTCCTTAATATTTTTATATATTTGCTAAAAATAGGTTATAAAAGAAGCTTCTTGAAACATCATCTTCTTCCAGGACTTGATGAGTGTTATTGTTGTATGACACATAGCCACATTTTTGTGTGTCAGTCAAAAAAATTTAACCTTTTTTCCCTCCTGAAGCCCAACATGAATGTTCATGGAGGTCCTCCACAGAGCTAGGAGATTATCCCCTAGACTAAAGTCTTTGAACAACAAGTGGTGCCATCATTTCACATTTTGTAGTCAGTGACAGACTGCAGGCTGCATAGAAGAAGAAAACAGCCTGATGTGTTTTTCAGGTGAGCTCTGGGCCAGGGAAAGGAGTGATTTGTCACAGATGTGATTTGTCACCCTTGCTAGGTGCTTTGTAAATGTTGACCTTGTACAGAGGAGAACATTGCTATTTCTTAAAGTGTTTCTCTTTGTTTGGTCTGTTGTAACACTTGAACTGTAAAAATGAAGAACCTAATAACTTGATCATGAAAATATCTCACATTTGAGAATAATAACTTGAGAAATAGGTACCATTTATTGAATAAGCAAGTGATTAGCTATCTTGAAACATGTATGATTTTCCCATTCTTTTTCTTGCCTTACCTGAATTTTTAGTGATGACTTTTATTTGGATTACCTATTTTGTCAGAACATTTCTGGCTTTTATCAACATTTGTAATCTGTTTATATATACTATGATTACTGATCCACTTAGACATTAAAGAAATTTTATTTCATGTTTCCTGCTGTCCACTCCCATTCCCTTTTCCTCTATACTTCTTGCTCCCCTTGGATAAATTAAATTTTAAATAATGCTAAAATTGCTGGGCACTGGTGAGTCCCACCTGTAATCCTAGCTACTTAGGAGGCTAGATCTGAGGATCTTGGTTCAAAGCCAGCCCAGGCAGGAAAGTCCATGAGATTCTTGCCTCCAGTAAACCACTAGAAAACTGGAAGTGGCACTGTGGCTCAAGTGGTAGAGCACTCGCCTTGAACTGAAGAGCTGAGGGACAGCACCCAGAGTTCAAGCTCCATGACCTACAAAAAAAATTCACTCAGTTTCATTTATTTTTTTCTTGGATGTATAATTATTCAAATGTTTTGAAATTTCCCTTCCTTATTTCCTCCCTCCCTCCCTCCCTCTCTTCCTTCCTTCTTTCCTTTCTTCTTTCCTTCCTTCCTATTTCCTTCCCACTCTCCCTCTGCCCTCCTTCTCTGTTTCTGTCTCTTATCTTTACCCATTACTGGGACTTGCATTAAAGGCCCTGCACTCTTGCTCAGCTTTTTTGCTTATGGCCGACACTCTACCACTGGAATTATTCCTCCATTCCCAGTGTTTTGCTTCTTAATTGGAGGTAAGATTCTCAGATTGGAAACAACTAAGGAACAGTGCTCAGGACTGAGTTCAAGCCCCAGAATTAACACCCACACCCACACCCACCCACTCCCCCCCCCACCACACACAGAGAACAGATTTAATGACAGTTGGATGTCCTTGCTCATTCCTATAAGCCTAGCTATGAAAAAGACAGAGATATGGGGTTCCTGGTTTAAAGCAATCCCCAGACAGACAATCCCTAGAGAATGGAATTGCTAATAGACCAGCAAAATATCAGAATTTGAGTCAAGGCCCAACTTGTAGAGTTCCAGCCATGAATGGAATAGCTTCACAAGACTTCAAGCCCCAGTATACACACACACACACACACACACACATACACACACACACACACACACACACATACACACACACACACACACACACACACACACACACACACACACACACAGAATGGATTACAAACTAAATATCAACAGCAGAATTTAAAAGTGAATTAAGTAAAACAACATTGAAGATTACGAATTCAGATTACAAGGGGAATGATTCAGACAAAACAATACTTTCTTCTTCAGAAAGTGTCTTCATTTCACCTTCAAAATGATATTTCTTCTAGACATAGAATTCTAGATTGGCAGAGTTATTCAACATTTTAAACACATTCAATTTTATTCTCACTTCCATAATTTCTGATAAAATGTCTATGTACTATAAGTTTTTGATTCTATACAAGTTTTTCACTAGCTGTTTTTTAAGTTTTATTATTGTTGTTA